GCTACCTTCCGGGCTGCCCCGCCCCCAAGGAAAGCTCCGGGGAGAATTCTCTCCTCAGCACAGCCTGGGGCAGAGTCGGACAGCACAGCCGCAAACCCCAGGGAGGCATTTCCTGATGGACGCTCAGCAAACCCTCGTCCCGGAAGGATGAGACCCGTTCGCTTGAACAGGAACCCCGGGCACTCTCAGTCCTGTCTGGAGAGGGGCCGCGCCACCGGAGGCCCTGCCCCCAGCAGCCCTGCCGCCTGGCTTCCACTGCTCGGTCCCACGTCCTTTCTTGCATGAAGACGAGAACCCCACACCACTCATCTCCGCTCACGGCGCTGGCCCATCAGACCCAGGGGGGCTGCAGAAGTCCCCACCCCCGCCCTGCCATCAGCCTTCCCCACATGGAGACATCGCGACGGCCACCAGGCCAGCGGTGAGACAAGGGCGGCAGGGCAGAGGGGGCCTGGTCCAGCCTGGTCCAGCACGGGCCGACAGCGGGGCTGGCAGAGCCCGAGCGCTGCCCGGCCCAATCAGCTCCAATCGGATCCTGCACCGGGAGCCGCGTGGCCTCACACACGTCGGCGGGGGACCCAATGCCCGGCGGGTTAAGCTTCTCCTTGCTTACAGTGCCAGCATCCCACATGGGCACCAGTTCAAGTCCCGGCTGCTCCAGTTCCCACCCAGCTCCCTGCTATGGCACTTGGGAAAGCAGTGGAGGATGGCCCAAGTGCCCGAGCCCAGCACCCAGCACCCTTGTAGGAGCCCCAGATGGAGTTCCAGGCTCCTGGCTTCGGCCTGGCCATGCAGCCATCCAGGAAGTGAGCCAGCATTTTATTACATAAAATAATCTCAGAAACAACAAACCCCCGGCACGGCCGCGGGCACTGGCTGACTGGACGGCACCTCCAGGGAGGAGGCTCAGCAGGAGAACCTGAGAACCATGTGGCACCACCCGTGAGCCCTGAGAGCGGCCAGTGCCCCACGTCCGGGGGAGCTGGCATGAGCGTGCCGACCCGGATCCTGACCCAGGGCACAGCCAGCATCTCTGGGGTCCCCGTGGGGCTGCACTCCGGGCTCAGCCTCTGTAGCGAGGCCTGCGTCACAACCAGGAGACGCCGTGAGGAGGACAGAGGCTGGTGTTGCTGCACCAGGGCCCGGGGCCCGTGAGCCCCGCCACTCCCTTCGATCCTGGCTCGGCCACTCTGCAGAGCCCCAGGTGCCCCCTGGCAAGTGCTGCCCTGTGGGGACCTCATCCCGATGCCCAGGTGGTCTTTTAGCTGCCTGTGGTGCGCAGCAGGGGGCACTGCTCATGGGACGAGAAAGCCCTGCTGTGCTGGCCTGGCTCCCCGTGGCCTGGCTCCCCGTGGCCTGGCTCCCTGTGGCCTGTGTTGGCCTGGCTCCCCGTGGCCTGGCTCCTTGTGGCCAGCAGGTCCATTCCTCCTCCCTCGCAAACCCAGCATTTGGGGAGTAAAAGCTTAAAACTGGGCCAGGGCCGGTGTTGTGGCCATCTGGGAGAGACTTAGTAGATGGAAGATCGATCTCTCTCTCTCTCTCTCTCTCTCTCTCTCCCTCCCTCCCTCCCTCCCTCCCTCCCTCTTTCTCTGTAACTCTATCTTTTAAATAAATAAAACAAAGACTGGGCCAGTCTCTTCTACCCTCCCTGCCCTGACCTCAGTGGTGTCTGGAGAGGCCCGAGGGCCCCCATTCTGAGACCCTCCCTGCTGGTTCCCGCGATGAACAGGAAGTGCCCCCTCCCAGCCGTGTGCAGGGAGGGACTCCAGCAGCAGAGGGCAGCAGAGGTCCCCTTTGACCCGGGCGCCCTGGCTCCGTGGTGTGGGTCAGTGGCCTTGGCCCCCCCACCTGCTTCCCGCTGTGCACGTCACCTCTCGGCCACAGCCCAGGACCCTGTCCACACAGCGGGAGCTGTCTGTGGCCTCCCAGCCTGGGCGGCCCCCTCCGGTCTCAGGGGCACAGACCCCCCACGTGGCTCAGCACCCACAGTTCCCTGAGGCTACGGCCCCTCGCTTTCTCTTGTTTTCTGCACACCTGCCGTGGCTCACTGTAACCGGCAGGGCGGCCCGGGCAGTGTCCTGGTTGCTGGCGTCCCCTCCAGCTCCCCCTGCCTCTGAGCTAGGCACAACGATGCACCTGGGCCAACAGGTCACGGCGCAGCCGAGAGGGCACTGCGGTGAGGGGCCCAGGACAGCAGCCGACAGTGCGACTCCCGAAACCAGCGCTCGACGGGCAGCAAACGGAGACGAACGGGTTCTTGGCTTTGAAAGTTTCCGCTCCGCAGAGGAAACCACAGAACGAAGAAACAGGAGGTGTCTGCGGGCCGCGCGTCCGAGCCGGGCTGACCCCCAAAGCACTCGAGGACCGGACGGCAGCAGGGCTGCTCACGAAAAAGCACACACGGGGTCTCAACAGGCAGCAGGGAGAACAACGCTCACACCACCGGCAAAGCGCAGATCAAAACCAGAGCGAGGGCAGTGGGTGGAGCCAGCACCCGCATGCCAGTCCTGCTCCGCTTCTGATCCAGCTCCCTGCCGTGCACCTGGGGGGCAGTGGGTGCCTTGGGTCCCTGACTCCCACGTGGGAGACCCGGATGGGGTCTCAGGGTCCTGGCTTCGGCTTGGCCCAGTCCTGGCTGTTGCGGGCATTTGGGGAGTGAATCAGCAGATGGGAGATCAATCAGCCAATCTCTCTCTCTCTCTTTCAAATAAGAAAAAAAAATGCTTTTTAAATGAAAGTCCCACAGTAAGACGTCTCCTGGCTCCTGTTAGAATGGCTGTTGAGCGGCCGGCGCCGCGGCTCACTAGGCTAATCCTCCGCCTAGCGGCGCTGGCACACCGGGTTCTAGTCCCGGTTAGGGCGCCGGATTCCGTCCCGGTTGCCCCTCTTCCAGGCCAGCTCTCTGCTGTGGCCAGGGAGTGCAGTGGAGGATGGCCCAGGTGCTTGGGCCCTGCACCCCATGGGAGACCAGGAAAAGCACCTGGCTCCTGGCTCCTGTCATGGGATCAGCGCGGTGCGCCGGCTGCAGCGCGCCAGCCACAGCGGCCATTGGAGGGTGAACCAACGGCAAAAAGGAAGACCTTTCTCTCTGTCTCTCTCACTGTCCACTCTGCCTGTCAAAAAAAAAAAAAAGATTGGCTGTTGAGAAAAATAAAGGATACCAGGTGCTGGCGAGGACGCGGACAACCGGGAACCCTGCCCACACGGAGGGGAGGACGTCAGCGCAGCCACCGTGGGGATGGGCGTGGAGGGAGAACCGGAGACAGAGCCCCCCACGGCCCGCGAGGCCACCGTGGCACACCCGCCTCCCGGGAGGCACCGAGCTGACTCCCTGCCACGCACAGCAACTCCGGCCTGGAAGCAACCACGTGCCCACCCGCTTACCTGTGACCACGGCACCACGGCACCACGGCACCATGGACGGACCCAGCCGGCACGAAGTGAGGTCAGCTGGGCACTCGCACACACAGCCCGGGCCCTCCTACATGTGTGGGCGCAGGGCCGTGGCTCGGAGGAGACACCCATCCGAGTTGGCCTGGAGCCGGTGATGGCAACAGCCGCTCAGAGTCCGCGTTTAACGTGCTCACCACAAGAACACCGCCAGGCGGCTGAGCTGGTGGGCGTTAAGGGGCTCAGCTCAACCCCACAGATGCACCGAGCATGGCCTGCCCATCAAAGGCAAGTAATGGAGACCTGCCAGTCCTCCCCAGGCCGGAGGAGCCCACGGGGGCGCAGGGGCTGCGACCACCCAACCCCCGCCACGCAAACCGGGGCGTTCGGGATCTTGCTGCTACGCAGTCGGAAATGATGGTAGTCAGCGCATTTTGCCAAAATCCCCTTGCAACGGTGCTTCTGGTGAGCGGGTGGGGCCCGGCCACACCAGGACACCGAGCGGTCAGGGAATCAGAGTGCCCTTGGGGCAGGCGCTCGGCTCCATCAAACCCAGGACAGAGTCGGGGGCCTGGGGCCCTGTGTGCGCGCCACCACCAGAGGGGACGACGGTGAGCCGACCTCAGGCCCCGACGGGCGGGCGTCACTCACTCACCCCAACCCCCCGCCTGTGCAACTCACTCGGGGACCGGGAAAAGAAGTCGAGTGGAGTGGGCCCTAGAGTGTGAAGTGAAACGTGGGGTGGGTGGGGGAGGGGAGGCTGCACGGGGGTGCCCAGGGACAGCCTGGGTGCCCACGGAGATGAGCCCCCTGCAGCCGCCAGAGAACCACAGCGCCCAGGCCACCCCGGCCCACCCGGCCCCTGCGCTGGCCTCGCACGCTCCCTCCCCAGAGCTCCTCTCTCCCAGCCTCCCGGCAGCCTGTTCTCACTGCTCACCTGGCCCAGGTGTGCGCAGGTCCCCCTGCCTTCCCCTCACCCCACACAGAGGCCACAGCCCACCCTCCCTGCCAGCCCAGCCCCCGACCTCTCCCGGTCAGGACTTCAGCCCCTCCCTCCCTCCCTCTCTCTCTCTCTCTCTCTCCACCCCCCGTTCCATCTGTTCTGACGATGCCCCCACCCCGATAAACCTCACGACCTCGCTGACCACTGCTCCCTGTCTCACGACTGAATTCTTTCTCGCGCGAAGACGAGCACCTGCCCCACCCATCTCTGGTGACAGCTCCCCACGCCCTGCCCACCTCAGAGGACCCCTGGCAGCCCCAGGGCCCCTGGCTCCGCCCCCGCCAGGCTGAGGGTCCCAGGCAGCACGCCCTGGAGCTGGTCCCAGCTTCTCCCTGCTGCAGCCTCTGCAGCAAAGCTGCCATGGGTAACGGCGTTCCCAAGTCTCCCCGACACCCTGCACCTCGGCTGTGCCCACAGACCATTCTGCACCTGTGCACGGCTGGCGCCTCCATCACCCACAGCCCAGGTCTGTGCACGGAGGAGGCTGACGAGCCCCCTGGGAACGCCCCATGCGCCAGCTGTTTATCCAGATTTAGCTCAGACGGTCACAAGGCCGGCTGCAGGGGCAGGGTCGGCCAGGGGCCAGCCCTAGAACCTGGCTCCGCACCTGGGTCCCGGTGACGGCTCCTATGACACCAGGAGGTTCTCACGCGTCCCCTGTGTGCCGTCCATGCTGGCACGGCTCAGCGCTGCGGCCCCGGCCCCGGCGACGTCTGCTCCTCTCCCACGTCTTTAAGGAGTAACACAAGGAAAGCAAAACGCACTCCGGAGCAGGCGCGGACGTGGTGGAGAGGCCAGGGGAGCCGGCGTCTCGGGGACGCTGGCACAATGTCCTTCCAATCCACAGGGGACACGGGACGGGGTTACTATGCAAACCAAACACAGCATAAACAGCCACGGCGCGGGCCCAGGCCCGGCCAAACCTGCCGCCTTGTGTACAGCTTTGCTTCCCATGGCGCCTGCGAAGGCTGCAGGAGGACGCGCCCTGGCACCCCGGGCGCCCGCCGAGGACGGGGCTCCAGGGGAAAGACGCGGGGCCAGCGGCATGGCCCCCTGCCCTGGGGCCTGCGAGCACACGTGTTCTCAGTGCTGCCTGGCTGGGGGCTGTTTCCTCGGTCACGCGGCCGCCACGGAGGCGAGGATGGCGGGCGCCGTGGGCACGCTCTGTGTGCCCCTGCTGGCCGGCTCCCGGGAGTGAGGACCCCCAGCTGGAAACACCCCAGGGGGAAAATCCTACACGGAAAGCAGAGCTTCAGACGCTGCGGTAACAGCCACGTGGACTCGTGAAATCCACGGGAATCCACGGGAATCCATGGGAATCCACGGGAATCCGCGTGCCCTGCTCCTGGCGTCAACAGAAAGCCGCTCTGAAACTCCCACGGAGCCAGCACAGCAGGGCGGGGCCAGCACAGCAGGGCGGGGCCACGCACAGCAGGGCGGGGCCAGCAAGCAGGGCGGGGCCACGCACAGCAGGGCGGGGCCACGCACAGCAGGGCGGGGCCAGCACAGCAGGGCGGGGCCAGCACAGCAGGGCGGGGCCAGCAAGCAGGGCGGGGCCAGCGCAGCAGGGCGGGGCCAGCACAGCAGGGCGGGGCCAGCAGCAGGGCGGGGCCAGCGCAGCAGGGCGGGGCCAGCGCAGCAGGGCGGGGCTCCGCCCGGGCAGCAGCGCCGAGAGCTCTACTACCTGCTCTTGCGACTCTCCTGACGCGGGGCCGCCGTGCACAACATCCTTCCTGGGAGGAGCACGGAGCCCACGGGCGTGGCCCTCTCCCTTCCTAGGCGTGGACCCTCGTGGCGTGGCCCAGCCCCTTCATGGTCAGCTCGAACCTGAACCCCTCCCTGCCCGTCAGCGAGGGGGTCCTGTTTGCTCCTGCTGCGTCCAGTGGCCCCGGCAGCGGCCCCGCCCAGCAGCAGCAGGCCCAGGCAGGCACCACGCGCACCGGCCCCCTGCGCCCACTCCAGACTGTCGCAAGCAGCAGCAGGAGGCCGGGCCGGGGGCCTGCCCCAGCTGTCCACGGTGGCACGCTGGGCACCCGCACGCCTGCGGGCTCCGTTTCAGACGGAGGCGCACAGAGGTTCAGTCAATCAGCAGAGTACCCAGGCCATGGGCACCCGTAACAGCAACCGTATCCTAGCAACAGGCCCACCTCTCCGCCAGCACCCACACACATCTTCCACCTGCTGGTTCTCTCCCCAAATGCCTCCAACAGCCAGGGCTGGGCCAGGCCCAGGCCAGGAGCCAGAGTGGGTGACGGGCAGTCCCCACTGTCCCCAGGGCGCACATCAGCAAGGAGCTGGACTGGAAACATGGACAGGTGTCACTCCCAGGCCCTCTGATGTGGGAGGCGAGCTTAACCCATGAGAGTTATAGGGAGAGAAATCTTCCATCTCCTGGTTCACTCCTCAAATGGCCAGGCTGAACCCAAGAGCCAGGAGCCTCCTCCAGGTCTCCCATGTGGGTGCAGGGGCCCAAGCACCTGGGCATCTTCCACTGCTTTCCCAGGCACATTAGCAGGGAGCTGGATCGGATGCGGAGCAGCTGGGACTCGAACCAGCACCCATATGGGATGCCGGGGCCCTAGGTGGTAGCTTTGCTGGTTATGTCACAGCTCCAGCCCCTTCTTTCATGAGCTTTTTTAAAACGCCTCAAATGCATGGATTTCAAAAGACATTTGTTAAAAGGGCATTTTTGGGGTTTATCCACATGGCGTCTCCAAGAGCACCAGGCGGCAGAAGCAGCGCGACACTGAAGGGACCCTCGGAGGACGTGGCCGCTGGGGAGAACCGAGCAGGGCGTCTGTCCGTCCGTCCGTCCTCACGGGAACAGTGTAGAGAAGCGCTATGGCACCCCAGCCAAGGCCCCAGCGAGTCTCCCACCAGGATGAGGTCGGCTTCCCAGGAACTGTGGGAGGTGCTGTGGCCCTGGCGTGGAACCACACACCTGTCACACACACTGCCACAGCAGGTGACCCAGACCCCCGGCCCCTGCCCCCGCTGGCTGCTTCTGTCGGGGACACCGCTGCTTAGGCACTTCCTGCCGACGGCTCCCGTGCAAGGCCCTGGATGGAGTTCCTGGCTCTCGGCTGTTGCCTGGCCCTGCCTTGGCCGTTGTGGGCACTTGAGGACTGACCCATGGATAGACGCTCTCTCTCGGGGGCCGGCGCTGTGGCTCACTGGGTTAATCCTCCGCCTGCAGTGCCGGCATCCCATATGGGCACTGGGTTCTGGTCCCGGCTGCTCCTCTTCCAGTCCAGATCGCTGCTGTGGCCTGGGGGGGCAGTGGAGGATGGCCCAAGTGCTTGGGCTCTGCAACCCATGGGACACCAGGAAGAAGCTCCTGGCTCCTGGCTTCAGATCGGCACAGCGGCCATTTTGGGGGTGAACCAACAGAGGGAAGACCTTTCTGTCTGTCTAACTCTGTCAAAAAAAAAAAAAAAGCTCTCTCTGTCTCTTGATCTGTTTCTCTCTATTGCTCTGCCTTTCAAATAAAAATACAGAAAGCAAAACAAAACAAAACAAAACGCCACTGGCCGTCCTCAAAAACACCACATTGTTCGGGTAGCGAGGAGGTCAGCCCGTGTGTGCCGCAGGGCCATGGAGAAAGCAGCATGGCCATGACCCCCGCAACCTGCCACCCACCCTCTCCCCACCCGGCACCGAGGGGCCACCAGGCCCAGCATGCCCAGCTGACCATGTCCTGGGGTTTTCAGGACTCCACCCCCCACAAGCAGCAACAGCAGAGCCCCACTCAGTCCACGGAGTCTGGATGCAGGCGCGCTCCAGCCCCTCCCCGCCTCGCAGCCAACCTCTGCCAGCAGAGCCGGCGCTGCCTCTCCCAGCGACACTCCCTGTGCCACGGAACAGCCCTGCCCTCACGGTGACCACCACGGCCGCCAAAGCAGGACCGAGAACCCCGGCATGGCCAAGGGCTTCCTGAGAGCGGGCACTCAGCTCTGCCTGTGCCCCACCTGTACCTCCACCTGTGCCCCGCCTGTGCCCTGCCTGTGCCCCACGTGTGCCCTGCCTGTGCATTGCCTGTGCCCCACCTGTGCCCCACCTGTGCCCTGCCTGTATGCTGGCCTGTGCCCCGCCCGTGTCCCACCTGTGCACCACCTGTGCGCCACCTGTGCCCCACCTGTGCCCCACCTGTGCCCCACCTGTGCCCCGCCTGTGCCCCACCTGTGCCCCACCATGTCCCTGGGCATGCACCCTTCCTTGTCCGGGAATCACACGGCTCAGAACCTGAAACGCTGCCTGGGAACATACAGAAGTAAGTGTAAAATCCCGTTTTTGAAAATGGGCCTGCAGTCTTTTCATAGCCTTTAAAGGAGAACCCCTGTAAGGACCAAGTCCACCCAGAGTATGCAAAGCCAGTGCCCTGCCCAGGGCCAGGAACAGGCCCTCGCGGCGAGGCCTGAGCGACCAGAGTACAGCAGAAACAAAATGTTCTTAAAACTAAGCACAGAAGCAGCCAGAGGACAGCAACATTAAATTTTAAAACCACCCAAGCTGACGGCCAGGAACCCAGGATGGAGGCCAGGGCGGTGCCGGCACAGGCCCAGTCCTGGCTGCCCGGTGCTCCTGAGCGCGCTCCCTGCTGACGCACACCTGGCTGCAGTGCCTGGGTCCCCGCTGCCCGCAGGGGTCACCCAGATGGAGCTCCTGGCTCCTGGTTCTAACCTGGCCCAGCTCTGGCTGCCGCGGTCAGCTGGGGAGTGAACCAGCAGATGGAAGGTCTCTGTCTGTCTCGCTTCCTCTGTCACTCTGCCTTGTAAGTAAATAAATAATCTATTTAAAAAGTACAAAGAACATGAGCACCAACAGTGGCAGGAAGGGGCCCCTGCCCGGCCGCCCTCCCCTCCACCCCTGTGCTGGGCGCGGTCTGGCTGCCACCCAGCCTCCCAAGCCCTGGGGGCTGGAGAAGGGTCCCTCCCTGGGGGGTTAGGGGAGGTGCACAGAGGCCTGCAGCTCATCTAGGGGTCAGCTGACAGGCGGAAGGGGGCGCGGCCGTGGTGGGGGCGTCCCTGGGTGCCACCGTGCGGAGGCAGTCTGTTCGGGGCTCGGCACCAGTCCTGCTCCTGGCACCTGGGGATGCGCATCTTGTCTGAACGGCCGTGTCCCTGGGGGAGGTGTCTCCACGTGGTCCTCTCAGTTTGGTGCGTGGCTGCTGGCCAAGCCAAAGCCGCCGAGAGCCTGGAGCGCACCGAGAGTGAGGCGGCACCCCCCCCCCACGGGCTGACACCTCAGGGGCTGTCTGGTGGACACAGGAAGCCGGGGAAAGCCCACAAGGGCAGGGGTAGCTTGGGACTGCGCAGAAAACAAGCGCAGGCGAGCGGGGGCACGGGGCACGCCCAGGGGTCCCGGAGCCCACGTCCTGCTCGCTGCACCAGAGCCGCTGCGAGCTCGGACAGGTGGGGGGGAGGCTGCATCCTGAGCCTCCCGGCTCTCCCGCCTACTGACCGCCGGACGCACACTCCGAGGGTGCAGTGCCAGGTGCAGGCTGGTCCCCAAGGCTCCTGCTGGCATCAGCTTCCCCGGAGCCCCACCCAGGCACCGCCTCCCCAGTGCACCCCCATGGGCGCTCACACAGGGCTGAGGCACAGCTTGGCCCCTGCACCACCGCCACGCCTGCTCCCCGACACTGGGGCAGGCCGACACGGTGGGTTTCTGCAGCCCCGTCCCCACGATGGCTCCCAGGAGAAGGCGATGCAGCATCTGAGGTGGAAGGGACAGGTCCCCACGTCTGCTGGGGATGACCGCTGGGCAGGCCCCCGGCAGCGGCGTCTCCTGCAAGGTCTCAGTAACCGGAGATCCACCTCAGTCTGAAATCCTCAGTGAAAATTCTAGAAACAATGCCGAAGTTTTAAAGAGGTCTTACCGTATCGCATTGCTTAGCTGTTCTTCCTTATTAGCTGTTGCTATTAATCTCTTCCTGCGCCTAAACCGTAACTTTATAACTGACCAGGAGACAGGGCCAGAGAGAACCACGGGCGAGCCCCACAACGCCTTCAGCCCAGCTCCACCTCCTGTGGAAGAAGCCCGCCCACAGGAAGTCTCTTGCCACAGAGGCTGGAGACGGTGCCCCGGGGGCGGGGGGGGGCCCAGGAGGAAGCGCACACTCAGCACAGCCAGCAGGAGAGCCGGCCCACCGACTCGGCATCTGCCAGCTGGCTCCAGCATGCGGCCAGGTTTCACAACCAGCAGGGAACACAGCGAAAGGCAACTGTGTCACAAGTGGGCGTCCCCGGGGACACTGCAGGCAGCAGCACCGCGCATGGGCAGCAGCCGCCAGCACCAGCCTCCCACGGCACGGCCGACCCGGGGAAGATGGCACTCACGTGACGCCGCCTCCACCTGACCCGCACATGCCAAGTGGGTGGAACTGCTCGCATCGCGCCACGATGCCAGCCACAACGCCAGCCACGACCAGACGCCCACGCCGCTCTTCTCGGTGTGGGGTCCCCTGCTCTGTGTGGCTGGACACCACGGCCCTGGGGACCACCCGGGGAGGACAGGGCTGACCCCCGACCACAAGGCTCCGGCCTCGTGGGCCATCGAAGCGCCCCGGGAACAGACCCAGCCGAGAGCTGACACCGGGCTCTCACGCGGCTGGAAGCTCGGGGGAGTCCGAGCCACAGAACAGGCAGGACCTGCGGACACGGATGCCCCGGACCCACCAGGAAAGCACCAGGCTCTGTGGACAACGGCTCCACCCTTACCAGTTGCCGCCCCAGACCTGAAGAGCAGGTGCGTCCCAGCAGGGCAGCCAGCGACGGCGGAGGGACAGAGGCCGGGCAGCTTTTATTCCTCCTGGCCCCTCCCAGGCTGGGAGGCGCAGGAGGCAGGCACCCCGCTGGCTACGCCTGCCTTCTGTCCCACACGGTGCCGGCATGGCCTGGAGCAACCTGCAGGTGCCCGGCAGTGCCTGTGGCGCCCAGGGCCCTGACCGCCCACACCCGCTGGGCTAGCACCCAGCCCGGGATGAGAGGCCTGAGAAGGCGCCGCGCGTCCTCCGGTTCCCGTCCCGACCTTCACCGAGTCTGCACACAGGACCTGGCCGGCACCTGCTCGGAGACCCAAGCTTCACCAGGCACCACTGGAGAGGCGGGGCAGAGGGGGAACCCCGGGCGTCTGTCCTGACAAACCGCCACGTGCTGGGGGAGCTGCTGCCGGCCTAACCCACACCCCGGGCCCAGCCACCGAGGTGAGCAGGAGGCCACACGTGGCCGAGGGGACAGCTGAGAACGCACTGCCCCAACGCCTGTGGGCACTCGGGGGAGACCCACTGTGCGCACCTGGGGACATTCAGCCTCACCCTGGGGCGGCCGACCCCTGGCTGGGTCCTCACACACCTGGCTCTGTCCCAGAGACCCTCCCTGTCTGACCATCTTCCTAGAGTGGCAGGAAGCCCCACTCCCCGCAGTGGCACTCAGACTCTGACCCCAGGTCTGACCCGGGAGCACGGCCCGGGTCACGCACACGCAGCCTGCACAGCCCGAGTGAACCTGTTCCCGGAACCCGTTCACGTCCATCGATCAATCATGCCCTGGCAGCCGGCCTGGGGCTCAGAGGAGACGCAGGACCCCTGAGGAGGCCCAGGGCTCACGCGGTCAGCGGTCTACGGGGTCTTCTCCTCCCCCACAACTAGCTGTTACTAGGCCAGCACAAAGCTCAGACGTCCCCCTGTGCCGGGTGCGTGAGCCCTGAGGGGCTGGGTTCCAGCTCCTGCAGGTGGGGGCGGGGGTGCAGGAGCCCCTCACGGAACCCCAAGCAGACCACCCAGAGGGCTCCCCAGCTCCACTCCGCACCTGTGACCTGGGTGCCCTGCGCTACACCAGGGAGCCCCACTCTGGCCGCTGGGACACAGACCGCAGGGAGCTCGCGAGCAGAGCTGGGCTGACAGGGCCAGCAGCCCCTGCGCCAATCCCCGTCTGCACCCGGCAGGTGGGAAGTCAGAACCAGCTCTGTGGGTGCCGAGTACCTGGCAAAGGGAGGCGGCACCACGCGGGCAGCCCAGTTCCCACCACAAGGCCCCACCCAGCCTGACAACCTCCAGGAGGTCCCAGCCTCCCCTAAGAAGGCGCCCAGGAGAGTCCTCCCTGCCCGGGGGGCACTGGGCACTGAAACTGTGGGGGGGATTTTCCCCATTCCACACCCAGCAGACACTGTCCAGGGGAAGGGGTGGGGCGGGAAGAGCTGGACCCCTCCCCGTAGGAGCCCCAGGCTGACCACAGCCACACTCCAAGCCCTGAGCTGAGCCCCCGTCTGCCCAGCAGGTGCGCTCTCTCCACTAAACCGTGCTCCCCCCGCCTGGGTGCTGGGCACTGCCTTGGGTCCTGAGGGGCGCCCCGCCCACCACACCTGGCCGCCTCGCCGTCCACTCCTCCGCTCACGCCTGAGTTCCTTCTGTGCAAAGACCAGAGCCTGTCCAGGCACCTCCGCCAGCATGCTGACTCAACATGGCTGCCGGGTTGGCACGCCTGTTCCCCAGCGTGCACACGGCACCCTGGCACCTCCAAGATGGGGGGGGGGGCATGGAAGCGAGAGGTCACCCTCTGCCCCACTGGATTTCAATCAGGGCAGCAGCAGCCCTGCTCTATAAAGGGACGGCCCCAACGCTGTTCTCCCTGCCCTGCGGAGGGCCCAGGACAGCCCCCGCCCTGCAGAAAGGACTTCCAGGGTGGGGTCTCCATCTTCCAGCTTCCCAGCGGGGGACAACACCCAGGGCCCCCTTACTACAGTCCAGGGTGACACTCGCTCACCTGACACCCGACGGTGCTCCTGAGACCTGAGGCTCTGGGAACAAACCTGCCCCAGCCCCTGCAGAGCCCAAAACAAGCAAAAGAGGCCCCCACCCTAGGACACAGCTGGCCAGGCCTGTCAGTGCCTGAGCCCACAGCCAGGCCCTGAGGTCACAGCCGGGCCCTGAGCCCACACCAGGCCCTGAGACCACAGCCTGGCCCTGAGCCCCCAGCCAGGCCCCGAGCCCAAAGCCAGGCCCTGAGCCCACACCCGGGCCCTGAGCCCACACCCGGGCCCTGAGGCCACAGCCAGGCCCTGAGCCCACACCAGGCCCTGAGGCCACAGCCGGGCCCTGAGCCCACAGCCAGGCCCTGAGGCCACAGCCGGCCCCTGGGCCCCCAGCCAGGCCCTGAGCCCCCAGCCAGGCCCTGAGGCCACAGCCGGGCCCTGAGCCCACACCGAGGCCCTGAGCCCACACCGGGGCCCTGAGCCCACACCAGGCCCTGAGCCCCCAGCCAGGCCCTGAGCCCCCAGCCAGGCCCTGAGGCCACAGCCGGGCCCTGAGCCCACACCCGGGCCCTGAGCCTACACCCGGGCCCTGAGCCCACACCAGGGCCCTGAGCCCACAGCCAGGCCCTGAGCCCACACCAGGCCCTGAGGCCACACCAGGCCCTGAGCCCACACCCGGGCCCTGAGGCCACAGCCAGGCCCTAAGCCAACACTGGGGCCCTGAGCCCACAGCCGGGCCCTGAGCCCCCAGCCAGGCCCTGAGCCCCTAGCCGGGCCCGGCAGCCCCAGGCCCCTCCTTGATGATGGTGACCTTTGCAAGCACACAGACCACAGCAGGCTTCTGAGTGGAGGGAAGGGGCTCACTTAGCAAAGCCGTGGCGACTCGTAATCTCGTCTTCCGCAGTGAGCTCCCAGGACGGGGCATCCACGACCTGAGGCACCTGTGTCCAGGAGTGACCTCAGTTAGACTCCCTGCAGCCTGACAGGGCCCCTCGGCACTGTGGTGACCGCTGGGCCTCCCAGCCACTTCTGAAGCCATCGTCAGAGCCCAGCTTCAGTTACACAAAACGACCCAAATTAACCCCAGGATTTGCTTCGCCGTGGACCCACCTTGCACCGCACCACACCTCCCCAGGGGCGGGCTCCTGTGAGGAGCAGCTGCCCGGGCACTGGGCCTCGGCCTCGGGCTGTGCTGCCACTCCGTCAGGACGCGATTAGGGCTGTGTTGGAGCCTCAGCTGGTCACCACCCTGTCCCACCCACTGTCTACCCCGTCCCTCCCCACCACACAATCCCAGTGGAGAGGGCCTGGCCTGAAGAAAGCTACAGACCTGGGATGGAAGCTCAGAGTCTGGGGGCCAAGGCCGGGAGCCACAGCCAGGAGCCGGCACAGGTGGGCAGCCGGGAGCCACAGCCAGGAGCCGGCACAGGTGGGCAGCCGGGGAGCCACAGCCAGGAGCCGGCACAGGTGGGCAGCCGGGGAGCCTCGGCTGGAAGCCACAGCCAGGAGCCACACAGCAGGGAGCCACAGCCAGGAGCCGGCACAGGAGGGCAGCCGGGGGGCCACAGCCGGGAGCTGGCACAGGCAGGCAGCTGGGCTCGAGGGAGCGGCTCTGGCTGTTAGGATGGTGCTCCCTCCTGGCTCTCATACAATCTGTGCTTTGGCTACGTTGCTAACGGTTCTGTGTGCTGCTTGCAAAAATGGGTCCAGAGGGCTGGTGCTGTGGCGTAGCAGGTAAAGCTGTTGCCTGCAGTGCCAGCATCCCATATGGACGCTGGTTCAAGTCCTGGCTGCTCCACTTCCAATTCAGCTCTCTATTATGGCCTGGGAAAGCAGTAGAAGATGGCCCAAGTCCTTGGGCCCCTGCACCCACATGGGAGACCTGGAAGAAGCTCCTGGCTTTGGATTGGCACAACTCCAGCCACTGCGGCCATCTGGGGAGTGACCAGCGGATGGGAGACCTGTCTGTCTGTCTCCGCCTCTCTCTGTAACTCTTTCAAGTAAATAAAAATAAATATTTTTAAAAAAAGAAAGAAATGTGGGGTGCCCTGAGGTCAGCAAGCCAGAATCAGGAGGCCAGACACCAGGGGTGGGGCAGGGGTCACACGCAGGCAGGCGGAGAGATGAGCAGCGCGGGTTTCCTGCCTTGGCTCCTGGGTCCTGCCAGGGAGCTCCAACCCCTCTCATCCCCCGAGTGGGGGCAGCGCCTGTCACTCATGACACACCCTCGCAGGCCTCCTGGGAGACTTCAATGAGGAGCTGACCCAGGGCGAGGCCCCAACAGCCCTGGACGGGGCTGGACTTCTGGCCCCACCTGTCAGTCGCCAGGAAAGGGGGCAGCTTAGGGCCGGTCCTGTGGACACTCGCGGATGGGGGTGGCAGTCACGAGGCCCCACAACCTCCTCCCTGGGCCCAGCCCTCTGCTGGGACGTCTCTCGGAGCGCAAGGGACACTGCGTTCAACGGCGCATTGTGGGGGCTGGGACAAGGACACAGAACGGACGCCAGGCCCAGAGGCGGGTGTGGCCGGAGGAGCCGGGGCCCACTGGAGGTGCTGGGTCCGGGGGCCAGGTGCGGCCAGAGGGCCTGGAGTGGACACAGCACTGCTGGGTACATGGGAGCACTAACGCTGACTCCCACCGGGCAGGAGTGACCTCCTCCTTGTATCCCACCCACCCAGGGTGTGACATGAGTAACAGGTGCTGGCGGGAGCTCACTGCCAATGGCGTCAGAGGTGCAGCTGCGAGGGCGTGAGGAACCAGGCACCAAGGCTAAAAAGCGCGCACTTCTCACCACCGCCGGGGCTCCTGGGGCACTGACGTGGGCGCAGACTGGCTCAGGGCCCTGCCGGTGCCACTGGGGGCAGCTCCTTGTGGGAAGCCAGCCCTGCCTGTCTGGCATCCAGGGAGAGTGCCGATCGGGGAGGAATGGTTGCGGGTTTTTTTTTTTAATCAGGTGCCCTGCCACACATTAAACTGCAGGGCCTGACTTCCCAGATGTCCCGGCTGTTCCGAGTTCCGAGCTCATGAGCACATGGACACGTGGCACACGGCTCCAGACTGCCCCACCCCAGCACAGGGATGATCCCCCCACCCACCCCAGCACAGGGACGGATCCCCACCCCCACCCCAGCCAGGAACAGGTCCCCCGTGTCCACCCCAGCACAGGGACGGTCCCCCGCCTTCGAGGGCTGCACCCCACGCGTCAGCCAGCCCCCCTCAAATGCCCCGGGAGCCTCTGCTTTCTCTCCCCCTCACACCAGCGGAGCCCCCAGAGGTGTGCACACCGCTCGCGAGGTGTGGACGCCCATCCTGGGGGCTGGGAGGGAAGCAGGGCCCTGCCAGGGAGCACCCACTGCAGAGCTGGCCCGAGCGGGTCCTCCGCCCACGGGCTGGTCCCACGGAACGAGCGCAGCAGGGGCCCCAGCACTGCCATCCTCACCTGGTTTCACCACCCCTGGTTTCACCAGCCCTGTCGCCCGCAGGGCTCTGCCCCGACACAGCCACGCCTGCCGCAGGGCCCTGTCCTGGCAGTGACACACAAGTTTCTTGCAATTCAAGTACAAAAGGAACCTCACACATGCTGCCAACACGAGGTTCGCCCCAACGACTGCATACCTGTTTCCAAAAGAAATAAGAGCCCGTGTGTGCCCACGCGCACGGGCACGTGTGTTATATGTATGAGTCTGTGTGCACGGGAATGCAAGCACACGTGTGTTGTGTGCATGGACAAGTACTGTACAAGTGTGTGAGCACACGTACATGTGCGTGACAAGGGTCCTGTGCGGGTGTGTACATGTGTGAGCATGTCACATGTGTGAGTGCAGGCATATGCCCGAGTGTACTGTACCAGTGCGTGCACATGTGTGAGTGTATGTGTGTGGACATATGACTGCATATATGGGCATGAGTGCATGTGTGTTCATGCGTGTGTGCACGTAACCACAAGTGTGAGCACACAACATGAGTGCCTTGCCCTGGGGAGCACAGCCCAGCCCTCCACGAGCTCCGAGGCTGCAGCTTGTCCTGCTCGCCCCACGCTGAGGGGCGCCGGCATGGGGAGTAGCTGACGAAGCGACTCCATCCCCCCAGCCGGGGAGCCTGCCCTCCTGGAGGCGGGAGGGCTGGTGGGGCCAGAAGGCAGACTGGGCCGTGCACCCCACACGCTGAGCACAGGCACTGGACAGAGACTGAGCGGGGCGGGGGGCGGCAGCCGAGGCAGCAGGGCTGGCCAGCGGGGGAGGGAGGCTGAGACGATACACCCAGAGGGACACAGGACAATGACGCACGGACAGCGGGGTCCACCCTGTCGCCCAGGAGAGGAGGGGCTGGGGGCAGGGCACACAGGTGGGGCTGTGAGGGAAGCCACGCTGTCCCTTCAAAGAGGAGGCCAGGCAGTGACTCACAGAACTGAGCCCGCTTCCCGCAAACACACTTGACATCACGTGCACTCGGCACACGCGCCCTCGGCACACGCGTCCGCGGCCGGGAAGTCGGCATTTCACGGAGGAGACCGGCAGAGCCGCACAGGCACGCGGACGGCCCGCCGTGCTGAGTCTCCGAGAGTGAGCGAGCAGGCTCCAGCCGCGCGGCCACGCACACAGAATGAGACGCCGTGCCCACACGTGGCTGTCCCAGAACACGGGCGCAGCTCGCTGTGGAAAGCCCACCAGCCCTGGGTGTAACTTCTGACAGTGAGGGGAAGGAGAACAATGGGGAGGCAGAGAGGGAATCCGAGGAAGGGGGAGCAGCGGAGACCCCCGGCTTCCACACTACAGCACCCCACCCCACGCCCAGGCCCTGCTCCGGAGACGGGCGCACTTGACTTCGGAGGAGGTGGCAGAGAGGACAGACGGGGCCCCCGGGGATCCAGGGACTCACCTGGACTCCGACTGTCCCAGGCAACACCTGGCCGAGCGCCCCTCCCCCCAGGCCGCACCAGCAGCCCCAGGGCACTGGCACCGAGCACAGCCAGCCAGAGCCCGCAGCTGGTCCCCGCCCCTGCCCCCGCCTGGCGCCGACCGCGCCAACGGGACACGCAGAGCTGTGCACGCACAGCCTCACCTGCCAGCTCAGTGGGGAAGGAACCCGTGGCCCGGCCTCCGTCCACGGGAGCCCCCGAGAGCCTCACCACTCACCACCAGCAGCACCAGAGAGCAAAGTCCACCTTCCAACAAGGCGGGCGCCTGGCCAGGCGGGCTCAGGGCTCACGGCTCAGGGCAGGGGAGCCGCGCCCCATCCCAGCCCCGCGGCACCAACCTCAGGAGCTCGGTTCAGGCCTGCAAGGGACACCCAGCGTCATGTAAACTCATCAACAGGCAGCCGAGCTAACTGAGCTCTGACACGAACACACGCGGTGCCTATGAAGCACACGTGTGCATGCGCGTCTACATACACACGCTCCTCAACACACAAAAACCAGGAAGCAGCAGCTTCCCTGAGCAGGGCAGGCACGTGTGACGGCACCGAAACAGAACCCCTGTGTGCACACGCGTGCTCAGCTGAGCCCGTACAGAAACAGTCAGAACCCGTGTGTGTGCACGCGTGCTCGGCCGAGCCCGTACAGAAACACAGTCAGAACCCATGTGTGCGCACGCGTGCTCGGCCGAGCCTGTACAGAGACAGAACCCGTGTGTGTGCATGCGTGCTCGGCCGAGCCCGTACAGAGACACAGAATCCGTGTGTGCACACGCGTGCTCGGCCGAGCCCGTACAGAAACAGTCAGAACCCGTGTGTGTGTGCATGTGTTAGGCCAAGCCCGTACAGAGACACAGTCAGAACCCGTGCGTGCGCACGCATGCTCGGCCGAGCCCGTACAGAGACACAGTCAGAATCCGTGTGTGCGCACGCATGCTCGGCCGAGCCCGTACAGAGACACAGTCAGAACCCGTGTGTGCGCACGCGTGCTCGGCCGAGCCCGTACAGAGACACAGTCAGAACCCGTGTGTGCACACACGTGCTCGGCCGAGCCCGTACAGAAACAGAACCTGTGTGTGCACGCATGTGTTAGGCCAAGCCCGTACAGAGACACAGTCAGAACCCGTGTGTGCACACGCGTGCTCGGCCGAGCCCGTACAGAAACAGTCAGAACCCGTGTGTGTGCACATGCTCGGCTGTGCGTGTACAGGAAGTCAGAACCCCTGTGTGCACACGCGTGCTCAGGCGTGCATTTCTACAAGCTCTGAAAGGATAAACCTCGAACCACCACAGCGGCTCCTCCCCCCAGTGGCCCCCCCACAAAGGCCCCCCCCGCAGAGGCTCCCTCCCTCTGCAGCAGCTCCCTCCCCCCACAGTGGCTCCTCCCCCACAGTGGCTCCTCCCCCCACAGTGGCTCCCTCCAGGAGGCAGCGTGGGGTCCAGCATGGGGGGCAGGGAGGGGGGGTCTGACTGCAGGGTGCGGAGCTGGAGCCGGAGCGGAGAGGAGTGAGGAGCCCGGGTCACACCGCACAGCGGTGAGATCACGGGCGCTGGTGCACCCTGAATTCCTCTTCTCTCTCTCACACACACACACACAAGAACATGAAGACAGGGCTTTGTATATATTTTTTAAGATTTTTATTTATTTGTAAGAGTTACACAGAGAGAAGGAGAGGCAGAGAGGGAGAGAGAGAAAGAGAGAGAGGTCTTCCACCTGCTGGTTCCCTCCCCAGATGGCCACAATGGCTGGAGCTGCGCCGATCCGAAGCCAGGAGCCAGGAGCTTCTTCCAGGACTCCCATGCAGGGAGACCCAAGCACTCGGGCCATCTTCCACTGCTTTCCCAGGCCACAGCAGAGAGCTGGACTGGAAGTGGAGCAGCCGGGACTGGAACTGGTGCTCATATGGGATGCTGGCACCACAGGCAGCGGCTTTACCCGCCATACCACAGCGCCGGCCCCCGGATATTTTCACCATAAATGTCCCGGGGCCGGCACTGTGTGTAGCAGGTAAAGCCACTGCCTGCAGTGCCAGCATCCCATGCGGGCAGCAGTTCAAGTCCCGGCCACTCCTGAAGAAGTTCCTGGCTTCAGATCAGCACAGCTCCAGCCATTGTGGCCATC